TACATACACACATACATACAAACAGACATATATATATGTGTGTGTGTGCAAATATACATGCATACACACATACCAGATGTAAGTTAACAAAGGTTGTTGCGTAAACATATATATATATATATATATACACAGGGGCCTGGCCCAGGGGGGGTCCCAGTTCGAGCCGGCGGCGAAGACGCTAGCTGAAGACGCTATTCCCCCAAGGAGCTGCGGTGGCACGTCTATTCCGCTGACGCCCGGTGAAGCTCGTGAAGCCTCTATCCGGCCTGAAGCCTTTATTCCCCTGACGCCCAGTGAAGCTCGTGAAGCCTCTGTTCGGCCTGAAGCCTCCATTCGGCCTGAAGCCTCTATCCGGCTCGTGACGCCTCTATTCGGCCTACGAGTTGCGACGCACTGGTGGGGTAGCGACCCTAGACGCGCCTGTTCGGCCTGAACCCTTTATTCCCCTGACGCCCACCGACGCTCGTGAAGCCTCTATTCGGTCTGAAGCCTATATTCCCCTGGCGCCCGGTGAAGCTCGCGAAGCCTCTATCCGGCCTGAAACCTCTATTCCCCTGACGCCCGGCGAAGCTCGTGAAGCCTTGATTCGGCCTGAAGCCTCTATTCCCTTGGCGCCCGGTGAAGCTCGTGAAGCTTCTACTCGGCCTGAAGCCTCTATTCCTTGACGCCCGTTGAAGCTCGTGAAGCCTCAATTCGGCCTGAAGCCTATACTCCCCTGACGCCTGGTGAAGCTCGTGAAGCCTCCATCCGGCCTGCAGCCTCAATTCCTCTCACGCCCAGTGAAGCTCGTGAAGCCGATATTCGGCCTGAAGCCTTTGATCCCCTGACGCCCATTGAAGCTCGTGAAGCCTCTATTCGGCCTGAAACCTCTATTTCCCTGACGCATGGCGACGCTCGTGAAGCTGTTATTCGGCCTGAAGCTTCTATTCCCCAGACGCCCGGTGAAGCTCGTGACGCCTCTATTCGGCCTGAGGCCTCTATTCCCTTGGCGCCCGTTGAAGCTCGTGAAGCCTCAATTCGGCCTGAAGCCTTTATTCCCCTGGCGCCCGGTGAAGCTCGTGAAGCCTCTATTCGGCTTGAAACTTATTCTCCTGACGCCCGGTGAAGCTCGTGACGCTTCGCAAGGTTCGTGCCCCAGGGGAGGGCAAATCTATAAGATGCTACGTGACACCCCAAAGATTCGTGCCCCTGGAAAGGGATCGTGCCCCAGGAGAAAGCCAATCACGCTAAGGATTCGTCCCCCATGATGCGACCACTCTATCAGCACGCATGCGAAGCACAAAAAATTCGCGCCCTATATCTATAGGCACAAACGCAAAACACTAAAAGGGTTCGTGTTCCAAGAGAAGGCCGATCTATCGATACACTAAACATAAAAAAAAAGGATTCGCGCCCCAGGGAAAGGGCAAGCTAGATGCACACACGTAAGACACGAAGGATTCGTGCTCCAGCAGAGGGCGGATCTATATGCACATGCGTAAAGCAAGAAGGGCTCGTGCCCCAGAAGAAGCGCACATACATATATATATATATATATATATAGTATCAGACGCACCTCTCCGAGGGAGTAGAGCTCAGAGGCGATGAATGCGCACGCGTCCGCGATGTTTCTGGGCGTCTCGCTCGGGACATCCTCGAAATTCTGAAAATCGGTGGCACCCCTCACGCAGATCGTGACGTCAGGGTCCAAAAACACATGGGAATTTCAACATTTGAACATAAAACCTTCAAACACACATGGTAATTTCAAGAATTGCGACCCCGATTCTCAGGGAATGGCGGTTTCGCTTGAAAAATCAATCCAAAATCGAGCCCCAGACCCCGCCTCGGAGCCTCCTGGGGGCCTCCTGGAACCTCCTGGGGCCTCCTGGGGCTTTCTGAACCTTCTGGCACCCCAAACCCCGCCTCGGAGCCTCCTGGGGGTCTCCTGAAACCTCCTGGGGCCTCCTGGGGCCTCCTGCGGCCTCCTGGAGCCTCTTGGGGCCTCCTGAAGCCTCCTGGGGTCTCCAGGGGCCTCCTGAGGCCGCCTGGGGCTTCCTGGGGCCTCCTGGGGCTTCAGAACTACATGCACACAGAGACACCAATCACGCCCAACACATCACACGCTAGACAAACATAACACACACACACACACACAGACAGACACACACACACACACACACACACACACACACACACACACACACACACACACACCACCTACAACACACAAAAAGCACGCACCACACAAAGCATAAATCACACACACACACACACACGCACAACACTCACAATCCTGGGGCCTCCTGGAGCCTCTTCTGGTATCCAAGTCGGGCCTCCTGAGGCTTCCTGGGGGGTCCTGGTACACACATCGCAAGGTGTGGCAACCCCACTTGCGCTCGAGTGCGACTTCGATGTTGCATTTCACTCCTGCTTCAAACGCCCCTTCAGTTTTTTGTATGAGCCTGGGCACACACGTGCCACTTGTATATATATATATATATATATATATATATATATATATATATATATATATATATCCCTCTGGGGCAGGCCCGGGGCCCACAAACAGCTGCCCCGACCCCCCATGGGAGGACGGGGCGGCCGGGGAGGTCCAAAATATTCCAGGAGGGCCTCCAGAGGCTCCCCAGACGGCCCAAGCAGGCCCCCGAGTCGCCGAAAGACCGCTCCTGGACGCCCAAGATAGGCCCCAGACGGCCCGAGAAGCCCCCCCCAGGCACTCCACGACGCTTCAAGACGCTTCTCCCGAGCGCTTCAAGAGACCAAAATCGTCAATTTTACTAAGGTTTTGGAGAGATTTTGGCCTTCCAGCCTTTTCGGCTGTCCGACGTTCCAGGCTGGCTCCATAGGCCCCCAAGAGCGCCCCAAGACGGCCCAAGAGGGCCCCCAGACGGCCCCAGAAGCGTGCAAGAGAGCCCCAAGACGGCCCCAAGATGCGCCCAAGAAGGGGACCACGACTCCAAAATTCGACCCTCCCGCTTGAAGAGTGCCCCAGGAGGCTCCAGGAGGCCCCCGAGAGGCACCCAGGAGACCCAAACAAGGCCTCAAGAGGCCACAAAACAGCCCCGAGGAGGTCCCACAACGGTTTCAAAATGGCCACCGAAAAGCTGCGAAACTGCCTTCACGACGTCCCCGACAGGCCAACCACGAGATCCAAACCAACACCCATGAGGCCTCTGACCCACCACCCATGGCACCCGCCGCCGCCCGCCCGCCGTCCGCGTAGCACGCACCACTCTGTACACAGCTTCAGTCTCCAACAAGCTCCCGCTGCAAGAGAACACCCTTAAGGAATTCATTCAAATCCCGACCCGCCGGCCCGCCCGCCACCCGCCCGCCCGCCGCCCGCCTGGCCGCTCGCCCGCCTTCCGCGTAGCGCGCGCCACCCCGCACTCAACAGCCTCCGCCTCCAAGACAACACCTAGCATTCTACAGCCCCCAGGGCTCCCGGGTCCGCCCGGGCCCGCTCCCAAACACGCCCCGACACGCCCAGAGGGCCCTAAAGATTGCCAAGACAGCCCCAAGAGGCCCCTGACACGCCGAAGACAGCCTCAGGACGGCCGACGACGCCACCAAGACGCCCTAAGAGCGCCTCCAGAGGCCCCTCCAAAGGGCCCCGCATTTTTGCGCTCTCGCATGTTCCGTCTCCCCACGGTCCCAGACGGCGTCAGGGGCCCTTCAGATCGCTCCAAGACGGCCGAAGAGGCTCCCCAGGAAAGACCAGAGACGGCCCAGGAGGCTCCCCAGATAAGTCAAGAGGGCCTCGAGAGCGCCCCAAGAGAGCCCCAAGAGCGACCCAAGAGGGCCCGAAGAGCGCGACATTTCCAGGTCTCCGGCCTGAGAGGCTCCTAGGACGCCCCCGGAGGCCATCAAGAGGCTCCCAAGAAGCCCCGTGAGGCTCCCAAGAGGCCCCCCGGAAGCCCCAATAAGCTCCCAAGGGCCCCACAGGGAAGCCCCCTGCGGGCCCCCAAGAGACCTCGGTAAATGGCATTTCCCAGAGCTTTCCGGGAACATGATTCCTTGGGCTTCCGCCCATCGCCCCAACCATGTTTCCAATAGGCTTGCCGACAAGGCCAAAAAGAGCCCCTCGGTAAGCCCCCAGAGCCCACCTTGTTAAGAGAGCCGAACAAATCATGCTCCCGGAAAGCTTCCCGGGAACATGATTCTCGGGTTGCCGCCCTCTCCCCAAACCATGTTTATAAACGCCTGCCAGGATAAAAAAAAACGATGGCTACAGGCTCATTTGGGCCCCCTGCGTTTTTAGGAAAAATCAGCATACCGTGTTCCACCCCCTTTCTCGTATGCGTCTTTCTCTCTCCTCTCTTCCTCCTCCTCCTCCTCCTCCTCCTCCTCCTCCTCCTCGTCCTCCTCCTCCTCGTCCTCCTCCTCCTGCTCCTCCTCCTCCTCCTCCTCCTCCTCCTCCTCCTCTTCCTCCCCCTCCTCCTCTTCCCAATCGGATTCCATGAGCGGGGGCGGAGTCCAGCAGAACCCTGGGGGGAAAAAAAAAAAACAACAGAACATGAGCAGAGATTCGGGGGCTGGGGGGTGGGGGGGAAGGTATCCTCAGGATGTTTTTTTTTTTTTTTTTTTTTGGGGGGGTCCAAGGGTTCTGCTGGATTCCGCTCCCGATACTGGAATCCGATTGGGAAGAGGAGGAGCAGAAGGAAAAGGAGGAGGAGGAGGAGGAGGAGGAGAAGGCGGGGGAGGAGGAGGAGGAAGAGGAGGAGGAGGACGAGGAGGAGGAGGAGCAGGAGGAGGAGGAACAGGAGGAGGAGGAGGAGAAGGAGGAAGAGGAGGAGGAGCAGGAGCAGGAGGAGGAGGGAGCGGGAGGAGGGGGAAGAAAAACGAGGAGGAAGAGGAGGAGGAGGAGGAGGAGGAGGAGGGGGGGAGGGAGGGAGGAAGCGCGAGCAGGCACGCCGCACCTCGACCGAGGCTCAAGCAGCTCGCGGCGCGCTCGCGCCGACACCGCGCCCTTCGCCCCGCCCCGCCACCCCCCTGGCATGGGGAACCCCAAGCCAGGAACAGCCGCCCACTCGAAGAAGAAGGCGCCGCCTACAATGCCAGCAAACGCGCGGAGAAGAAGGCCGCCGCCCCCGAGGCGGTGGTCGAGCCTTACACGAGGCGTGCGCCATGTGCGCGCGGCGTGCCAGGTGCGCGCTGTGCTTCATGCGCGCAGCTTGCGCCGCCCCAGGTAGACTTGGCGCGCGACCACAGGCAAGACTTCTGGGAGCAGCTGCAGAAGACGAAGGACTTTCAGAGGGGGGGGCACTTCGCACAGCGACAGAAAGAGAAACCAACCGCCCGTAGGAGGAGCTGAAGGAGACCCAGAAGCAGCTGAAGGAGGAGAGGCGCGCCCGCGGGAGAGCGGAGAAGGAGCGCGACGACGCCAAGCGCAGGCTCTGCTCCTTCCAGACTTGGTGGAGCGTTTTCCTCAAGCTGTGCTTGCAGGACTGCGCTGGGGGAAGGGAGGGCGCGGGCAGGCAGGGTAGGAGGCGGCCTCAGGAGCTGCCGAAGACCTGGGCCACGGAGGTCAAGCACTGGTCTGAGAGCGGAGTGAGGCACTTGCGCTGGCTGCGGTGGTGCACCGAGAACGGGGACTAGCGCAGAGACGACAGCGCGCAGCGGGGCGCGGGAAAGAAAGCCGCTCGCGCGGGGCCGGGGCTTGGCACGCTCAAGGACGAGGTCGGCGTTGACGCCCACGCAACTGTGGAGCGCTGGATTCAGACGCTTGAAGAGGGCGTCGAGGAGCACGTGGCCAGGAAGATGGACTCTGTGAGCATTTTCGCAGACCTGCTCGGCGGCGGCCCGCGCAAGCACCCCGCTGCTGCGAAAGCTGCGCCGAAGCGTCGGGCCAAGCGCTCGGCGAAGAGTCGCCCAGCCCAGGCGGGCGTCAAGGAGCGGCCTGTCATGAAGCGCCCCGCGCGGTCCAGGCCCCCTGCTGCCCGAACCAGGAAGGCCATCCTGCAGGTGGACGAGTCCTTCCTGAGCAAGGGCAAGCTGTCCAAGCTGGCGAAGAACGCAAGGCCGAAGAAAGACAAACCATGGCTTTGGGGCGCCGTCGTGCAGGGTTCGCCGCACCTGTTCTTCTTCAAAGCATTGTAGTCCGTCGAGGATGCTTACGACGGCAAGCCCAGGGGCAAGCAGGAGTTGTCGGAGAACTTCAAGGAGCTGTCGCCTCCCGCTGGCGTCGCCATCGTCTCGGACAAGTGGAGGGGGACCATCGCGGCTGTGAAGCAGTACCGCAATGACGCTGGCCTCACCGAGCGGACGCTCCCGCACGAGGTAGTGAACCACAGCGCTGGCGAGATCACGAACGAAAGAGGGTTCACTACCAACCACGTAGAGCTCCAATGGTCATTGGCCAAGCGGTGGATCAGGAAGCGCCACGGCGGGACGTTGCCCAAGAAGGCCGACAGGAAGAAGTGGTCGAGGCTCCTTGCCGAGCACAGGTTCCGCACCCACATCAAGGCCAGTGGGCAGAAGGTGAATTTCGCGGCGCTGGCAGCTACGTTCCAGGCGTGGTGATATGTCTAAAGCGTTGCGCTTGCCATATAGTAGCGATTTATACGTTCAAAGCACTGGGTACTTTTCCAGCGGAGCTTGAGCTATGTCGGGGAAGAAGGGCCCCCCGCGCGAACGCCATGCCGCACCGCCCCGAGCCGATGCAGAAAACATATACCGCTGTCTCACTCATCGTCTTCGCTTAGCGGTTGCCGCCGACGTCGCCGACGTTGCCGTGGACGTTGCCGCGCTCCATGCAGTTTTTCCTCAAAAAAGCAGGGGGCCCAAATGAGCTTGTCACCAAAACGAGAGCCCCAAGCAGCGCTACCTGCCGCCACGCTCGGAAACGCGTCAGGCCCCGAAGCCTCCGGAGGCGCCCAACGACACCCCAACAAATCATGCCCCCAGGAAGTCTTACGGCCACTGCCGCCGACGTTGAAGGAGGACGGTCCAGAACACCCAGAAATCTTCCAAACAGGCTTCCAAGAGGGTGCCGAGACAGCCCAGGGCTGCCCCCGGACGGCCCAAGAAAGCCCCGACACATACGAAAAGGGCCGCAAGAGGCCCCCAAGAGGCCCCGGAACGAGGACACATCGTTCGAACACGCCCAAGATGGTCTCCAGACAGCCCACAAGGCTTCCAACACGGCCCAAGGGGACGCCAAAATCATTGATTATCCTTAGGTTTTTCATCGATTTCAGACACCCAATGTCGCCCCAACAGGCCCCCACGAGGGCGCCGAAACGGCCCAGGGACGCCCTGCCGCGGGCACGAGGCGGGGCCCGGGACGGAGCTCTCGCACCGGGGGGCCCAGGGGCCCTGCCGTGGCGCTGGGGGCCTTGTTATAGTCGCCCGAAGACGGCCCTGGCCTTTCCAGACAACGAAAACGACCAATGACCGCCCGCGATCACCCCAGAATTGGCCCCTGACTGTCCAAGAGGCCTCCAAGACGCCCCAAGAGGTCTCCAAGATGGCTCCCAAGGAGCCCCAGGAGGCACA